TCTTATGCAAAGAACAGATTAGAACAAACCTGATTATCCACATGATCTCTTGGAGCAGAGCTTTCCACTTACCCTGGACCACCTGCCTACCTCAGAAGTATTATGTGGGTGTGAGAAAGAAACTTGAATCTTTTTTGAGTTATTGTATTTGGAGATCTGTTTGTTATAATAGCTTAGCCTGTGCCCTACTACCAGAGTTGACCTCTTAGAAGAAGGAACATTTGAACTAAAACCTAAATGACAAGAATAAACAAGTCATAAAAAGAAAAGAAAATGCATTTTACATAAATAAAAATGACCTAAAGGAGAAAAGGACACAAGGAGTGAATGGTGAAGATGATGTTGGAAGAAGGTTAATCAGAACCAGATCACATAAGGGTTTGAGGGCTAGGTTAAGAAAGTTTTAYTTCAAGTATGATGGGAAACCACTGGAGAATTTTACTGCTTGTCATAATTGGGCTTATGTTTTAAAAATACCACTCTGGCTACTCTGTAGTAAATCAACTGAAGTGGCAGGTTAAATGCAGAGACTAATAAGGAAACTATTGCAGTAATCCAAGGGAACTCATTTTAATGCTCAAACTAGGGTGGTGGTAAAGAAGACAGAGAGAAAAGACAAATTCTTGAAATGTTTTAGATGTATCAACAACGCAAAGGATGATTAGATGTAAGGGAATGCAAGAAAGAGTGGGATAAAGTTTGCCTTTGGGTTTGAGCAACTGAGATGATTGCTGTGTGAAGGGGAGACCATCAAGAGGCAAAGTGGAGGCAGAGAGGTCAGCCAGGGAGCTTCAGTTGAGGACATTTGGGTTTTAGTTTTTTGGTTTTGTTTTGTTTATAGGAAGGAAGCAGATTTTGTTTTGAAAAGGAACAACTTGTTTTAGTCACATTAGCTTCTATATGCTCATTTGGCATTTGAGTAGTCAGGTAGGCAAGTGTTCCAAAAGCTTGGACTAGATGAGGTAGGTCATCTAGGGAGAAAGTGTACATTGAGAAGAGCACAGAGGTGAAGCCAAGAGCACTGAAGCACGGAGAAGAAAATCCAGGTATAGAAAGAAACCCMAAAAGGGAAAAGTGTCACAAGAACCTGGAGAATTATTTCAGGAAAGAATGTAGGGCTGGGGGTACAGCTCAGTGGTAGAATACTGGAAAGAGCATTCTCAGTAGTAGAGCCTGGTATTTGTGAGACCCTGATTCCATCTCCACCTGGTCTCCCCACACACAAAAGGAAAGTACAAGTTTTTTTTTTTTTTTTTTTTTTGGTACAGGGGATTGAACCATCAGAGGTACTTAACCACTGAGCCACATCACCAGCCCTTTTTATGTTTTATTTTGAGACAGGATCTCACTAAATTGCTTAGGGCCTCACTAAATTGCTGAGGCTGGCTTTGAACTCTCAATCCTCCTGCCTCACCCTCCCAGGCACTAGGATTACAGGAGTGAGCTACCACGCTTGGCTAAGTACAGGTAATTGTACAACAAGCTATTGAAAGATTGAATATACTCAAGCTGAAGCTGGAGGATCAGGCCAGCCCTGAACAACTTAGCAGACCCTGTCTCAAAATAAAATTTTTAAAAAAGCTGGGTGTGGTGGCACATACCTGTAATCCCAGTGACTCAGGAGGCTAAAACAGGATAAACAAAGTTCAAGGCCAGTCTCAGYAATTTAGTAAAACCCTGAGCAATTAAGTGAAACTCTGTCTCTCATAAAATATTAAAAAGGGCTGGGGGGCTGGGGTTGTGGCTCTGCAGTAGAACACTTGCATAGCATGTGTGAGGCACTGGGTTTGATTCTCAGCACCAAATTTAAATAAATAAAATAAAGATCCATTGACATCTTTTTTTTTTTAAGGGGGGGGGGAGAGAGAGAGAGAGAGAGAGAGAATTTTAATATTTATTCTTTAGTTATTGGCAGACACAACACCTTTGTTTGTATGTGGTGCTGAGGATCGAACCCGTGCTGCATGCATGCCAGGCAAGCGGGCTACTGCTTGAGCCACATCCCCAGCCCGACATCTTAAAAAAAAAAAAAAAAAAAAAAAAGGCTGGGGATGTGGCTCGGTGGATAAGTACCCCTGGGTTTAATCCCTGGTACCAAAGGGAAAATTTTTTTTTTTTTTTTTTTTAAAGAGCTGGGGCCAGGTGTGATGGCAAGTTCACAAACCACCTCAGCAACTTAGCAAAGCCCTAAGTAACTTAGTGAGACCCTGTATCAAAAGAAAAAATGAAAAAAGAGCTCAGGATGTAGCTCAGTGGTAAACTATTCCTGGGTTCAATCCTCTAGTACCCACCTTGCCAAAGAAAAAAGAGCTGGGGTTGTAGCTCAGTCTTAGAGTGCCTGCCTAGCTTGGATGAGACCCTTTGTTCAATACCCAGTACCATATGAGCACACACAAAAAGACTGAATAAATGACAATTGAGACCAACCATTGAACCACTGGGTTTAGCAAGATGTGGACCCTGAGAAGTGGCTTTTTGGTCAAGTCCTAGAGACAAAATTCTATTTGGAGGATTTGAAAAAGCAATGAGGTAGAAATTGCAAGTGTGGACTTGTCTTTTATATCTTTCAAGGAGTTTTACTGTTAAGGGGAGCAGAGAAATTGGGTTACAACTCAAGAGAAGAGTGGAGTCAGGTAAGGAGTTTCTAAAGTTGAGTTGGAATAAAGCTGGGGATGTGGCTGAATCATAAAGTGTGTACTCAGCATGTTGGAGGTTCCTGGGTTCAATTCCTAGCAAGCGCGTGTGCACACACACACACACACACACACACACAAGGTTGAGATTCTATTAGGAATGATTACTAAAAAGAGTATGGGGAGTGGTGTCTTAAAAAGACCTGCAAGATCAAATGCTGCTCAATAAGCATTTTTTTTTTTTTTTTTTTAATGAGGGAAAAAGGACACTCTAATGGGAAGAGGTTGATGAGAAAGGAAACCAGTTTAGGAATGTCTAAAACATTTTAGACATGTTGAGTTCAGTGAAATATTTAAGTTAAGACTAACTAACTTAATAATAAGTACAAGAGCTGGGCATGGTTGGCATGCCAGTAATCCCAGCAACTCAGGAGGCTGAGACAGGAGGATTACCAAGTTCAACACCAGCCTCAGCAATTTAGGAAGGCCCTAAGCAATTTAGCAAGACTCTGTATCAAAATAAAATATTAAAAGGGCTATAGATGTACTTCAATGGTAAGGCACCCCTGGGTTCAATCCCCAGTACCAAAGGAAAAAAAAGTACAAAGGATTTTGAGCTTCAAGACAATAATGATGCCTAAGAAAAATTATATATTTTACAAATGATCAATCCAATTCATAGACACTATTTTAAATTATCCTATATCAAATTTACAAGGATTTACCTTGCCAAGATTCTTGGCACTTTTATATTGACTTAAATTGCATTGGGAAAAGCATAATAGTAATTGAAAAGCAACTAATTATAAGCAATTATAAGCCAAATTATGTTTATACCACAATTAGTGTTTGAGGTGGTTTAGTAGGCAGATTCTTCATTTCAATAAGCAACCATCAAATAATTGAATAGCTTGTAAAATAGAAATACTCCTTTTATCTTTATTCCAAGCTTAACAATTACATCCTCTTTTAATTATTATTATAATAAAATAAGTAACATTTTATTATATTTTGTTCCAATCCCCAATTTGAGTTGGATGCTTTTAAAAACATGGCACAAGTTTCAGAGTGACTGGTCTTGTTTTTGTTAGACAAGTACCATCTTACGGGGTATCTACAGTAGGAACTCCCACCATGCCATTTTCAGTGGATTTTTCATGCTGATATTATCTTATTTCACTTTGAGGAAAGTTTTTCATTACGAATAATAGGAGTAAGTTACTTTTGTCTTGTGACAATGGTAGTTTTTATGTCAAGGTGGTTTTTACTCCAGTATTTCCAAGTCATAAATAACTTCATTACAATTTTGCCACCTCGGGTTAAACGTAAGTATACTTCATACTACTTTTAAAGTATAAAGTAGACTTCACAACTACTTTATACTTTTGATTGATTAGTGATATATTAGAGCGATGATTCTTTAAGTTGCCTCAAGTGATAGCTCTGGAATCTGTTACATCAATAACTGCGCCGCAAATTTGGGGGATTGGGAGGACACCCTTTCAATCACTTCATCAGTTTAAGAAACATATTATCAAATAGCCTCAGATTATATTTAACAAACCTAGTTTCTAGAAGTAGTTTTGCTGAATAAATTCCCGACCAGTTCAAGGGCGGCTGTTGCCTTCTGCCAACTCCAAGGCTCGCCTAGTCACATGGTGAGAGATAGGTACAGGAGCCCTCCAAGGCTGGACGCCACGTTGCTTTTTCCCCTTTTGAAAAGGAGACAACGCTTCTGGCTATTGTGTAAACGGGTCGAGAATTACATTCATTTGCACGTCAGATAACGCGGGAGCTGAATAAAAGCGCCTTCTAATTCGACCTCTGGCACCTTGTAWGTCACGGACAAATGCTGACTTTTAATGCTTGATTGCGTTCGCCTCAAGGAAACACACTTTAAAGAACCGCCAAGTACCTCAGCAGTCGCGGCAAACTGCACAGAATCAAAACCACCAGCCAACCTAGCACAGGCCACCACCCCAGTCAAACCCGCCAACACCCCTAAGGACGCCCCCATGTTCTCTGTTAACAAGTTTTATGCAGGGCTGGACAGCCTTTGCTCACTGCGTTCCCGCTCTCCCCACCCACTCTGAATTCAACCCCAGTTCCTGGTCCCCAGTCGGACAACGCCGCGGAGGATCCGGCTCAGGGGACTGTGATAGTTCCATCTGCAGCGCAGCTGGTAGTTCCCAGCGCTCCCTATCGGCCCAACGCCAGCCAGCCGCGGCTCAGCCACTAGTGAGTGACAGCGAGCTGCTCCTGTGAGTCGTAGGGGCGGGTCTATGCGTCATTTCCTGGCCTTTCGGAGACCCGCCGTATATAAGGTCTGCACTCACGCAGCGCTCTCGCTTACACAGTATGGCCGGCGACATTAGCTAGCGCTCGCTCTACTCTCTGTAACGGGAAAGCAGCGGACTACAAGAGACTGAACTGTATCTGCCTCTATTTCCAACAGACTCACATTCAACTTTCGCTCACACACACAAAGCCGGGAAAATTTTATTAATCCTTTTTTWAAAAAATTTAATATAAAATTATAGCAAAAAAAGGAACCTGAACTTTAGTAACAGCTGAAACAATCCGCAGCGGCGGCGGCAGCGGCGGGAGAAGAGATTTAATTTAGTTGATTTTCTGTGGTTGTTGGTTGTTCGCAGTCTCACGGTGATGGAAGCTGCACATTTTTTCGAAGGGACCGAGAAGCTGCTGGAGGTTTGGTTCTCCCGGCAGCAACCCGACGCAAACCAAGGATCTGGGGATCTTCGCACTATCCCGAGRTAGGTGCCCGTGGCGCTCTCCCGCAGATCCGGGCCCGAGGGTCGTCTCTGCTTTCAAAGCACCAGACCCTAGCCCCTGCCGGATATCCGCAGCCTTCAGGTGGGGCCGAGGCCGCGAGCAGGGGTCGTTTCGACCGCCGTGGAGGGCGCGGAGTCTTGTGGGGGAAGCAGCGCGTCCACGCGAGGCGGGAACCGGCTTCTCCCGTTGCCCGGCAGGCACTGCCCTGGGGGAGGGGAGGAGGCCGGCATGGCCGCGTGCTCAGGTAAAGTCCCCGGCCGCGGCGGCGGGCGGTGGGCGACGCCGCGCGGCGTGGTTTTGCGGCCCCTGCCTCTTCCACACTCCTGTCCGTTGTTCGCAGTTCGGGCCCTGAAAGGTGGCGGGCGCCTGGGTGGGAGGCTGCGCGGGCTCCCTGGGGCAGGTGTGGCTGCGCTGGCTCAGGCGCTAATTCGGGTGTGCCCGCCTCGGGTAGGGGCGGAGGGAGCGAGCGGGACTCTTTTTTTTTTTCTTCTTTCCCTGGGCGCCTTGAGGAAGGGGCCCTCTGGCCTTGGTGGAGGGGCTGGCGAGCAGGCCTCCCGCCGCGGTCTCGGCGGACAACGTGTGGCGCTTGGGCGGCGGGGATTGGGCGGGAGCCGCCGTGTCGCAGAGGCTGGGCCCCACCGCCGCCGTAACGTGCTCTATGGCAGAGCGTTTTCAGGGCAGTGGGTGGGTTGTGATAATGTTGGGGAAGCCACTGGAGACGCCGTGGAATCGCCAAGGGTTGCCCCCTGGTCTCTTGACCTTGGGTTGTGTAACCTGTTACTGAGACGGCAGGAAGACGGGAGACCGCAGTAGGGTTGAGGAGAGGTGCAGGGGTGGGGAGGTCTGTCTACATTTGCGGGGTAGAAGCTTGTCTGTCCCAGGACGTAATACCTTTAATGCTTAAGCTTAAGGAAAGGAATGGGGCCCCACTCGCACCGCGGAGCTCAAGTGCGGGAGAGCTGAGCTGGTCGCGCGGTAGTGCCCTTTTTGTAGTTTTGCTGTGGAAATGGAAGCGCAGATAAATGCACAGGTGATGTTGAGGATGCATGGGCCCTGTTCCTGGCGGCGTTCACACCAGTAGCAACCCGTCGCCCTCCTAGGCCCCTCCGCGGTTTCCCGGCGCGTTAGAGAGGCCAGGGTGGCGGTGTGGCGGAGAAACCGGCGTGTCCCGCTTCATTGAGATGCGGCGACCAATGAGCTCCTGGGCTCCTCCGAGAGCCTGGCCCCAGGGTGTGGGCCAATGGGCGTTTTAGGAATGTTGGCTGCGCTTGCAGCCGTCCCTTGACAAAAAGCAACTGGAGAAGAGAATCCAGGCAGACACGTGCTGCTGAGACTTTAAGGCACACTGGGAAACGCAGTTCTTGAACGTTTCCACTGTAAGGGAAAAATTCTTGGTTACTAAAATGCCATGGGCCTTATTTTTCAAGCTTCGTGTGGTTCTTATAATGTCTAACATGGCATATGTGCCAGGCCCAGTTCAAAAGAAACACTTTAAAAATATGTGTGTGTGTGTGTGTGTGTGTGTGTGTGTGTGTGTATGGAAGAGGTTACTTTTTTCCAAAATAACCACGGCGAAGCTTATTTTTAGAGGTAGGAAAACTTGTTTGTGATAGGCATTTGGAAAAAGTATTGGCATCAGCATTATCACCTAGAAAATCTTGGCAAGAACAGGCCTCGAAAATAATAAAAGTTATGTTGGTGTAGTTATTCACATTTGAAGACTTAAATAATTTGTAACACACGTTCTTAATAGAGAGAAGAGTTTTGTTCTCTTCACATTCTAAGGCAAAAATGCCAGAATTTGTGCTTGGATTCTTTTAGTAAAGTGTTTCCTGAGTGAAGGAGAGGGAGAAAGGCTTTTTACAAGGCAGCCCGTTTTCTTTAAATGTTTAAGAACCACTTTTACATGGTACTTACTACATCTGAAATACTTTTACTGCTTCAGTGTAACTCAAAATGATGGCAAAAGTTAAGCCTTTAAAGACAGAATATTCTGAGTTTTGCTTTTTTTTTTTTTAAGATTTCATAACTTGGTGCCATTGTGGGCATTTAACATTCGTTGAACTACTGTTGGAAATCTACCACAAATCGGRTGCTTTAGATAAGGCGAATTAAGTAATAACTGAAAAATATCTGTRGTAACTAAGACATCTATTGGTAGCCTTTGTGGGAACATTTTTTAGTAGCCAGTCAAGCTAAGGATGCACTGGTTGGGCTATTAAGGTAGAAAAGTATCCAAAAAATAATGAATAGATATCGCTTAGCAAGAGAGGAATCATTTGAAGGGAGACTGGTCTTTGAGGAGTTGGGGTGCAGGCCCCAGAAAAACCCKTAGAAGAATTATCTGTCAGAAGAATATACATAATGAAGTGGCCTCTGGATTTGAATTCTAACTGCATTAAATAGTGTGAATCCTTTCCTCATCTTTAAAATGGAGACAATAATGGAATACCTTGAGGTAGTGTGAGGATTAAATAGGTTAATGTTTTCTACAGTAAAACATTACCTTTGTTTTAGATTTCTTAAGGACAAAAATCTTCTTTTAGAGCAACCAAGGCTAGAGAAGAAAGCATGATACCAAGTTGTAATAAAAAAGATACACTTGAAAGATGCCTTAGCAATTTGATGTGCAGCAGTTACTTTTATTCAAAGAGGAAAAATAGTCACTGGAGAGTTTTAGACTGCTTTGTACATTCATCCTTCCACAGAATACTCTTATAGCTTTGTGTTTGTTAAATGGTTAAAAAATCGAAAACCAGAAAGTCCTTGCTTGTCCTTGACCCATCCTGCTGCCCTCAATGTCCATTAAAAGGCGAATAGACAAAAGGTCACTGCTAAAAGATTAACAGTCTGGGTTAAAGTAATCAAGTCTATTTATGAAATATATTAAACATAATAATATAGAAATGATTAAGAGATTGAGAAGGCTAAGGTGTCCAAGGAACATTTTTTTAGATGCCTAAGACATTAAAAAGATAAGGGTATTATGGAAAATTTATCTAGAAAAATGCCTTTCCAAAAATGATACAAGTAGATTAAAAAACCTAAAATAGTCCTAATAATTGTTATTACATACGCTGAAGGTAGTCATTAATCATCTTACAAAGGAAACTAGACCCAGATGGTTTCACTGGAATATTATATCCAAGGAAGAAATGATTATAACCTTTTCACAACATTTTCCCAGGATGTAAATCATTTTGTGGTCAGCATTATTTTTATAACATGACTTGACAAGATGTGAAGGACTGGGACAATCATTCTCTGACAGGATAGAAAAGGGTACACAGCCCATGTTGAACTCTGGCTGCATGCTAGAACTTTCTCCACCACTGAGCTCCACCCCCAAATCTGGCGATTTTTTTTAAAAGTTAAATATCTGTCATGAATCCATCTAGTCAAAGATAACAAATATGTCTCCATACAAAGACTTCTAYGTGAATGTTCTTGGTAGCTTTGTTTATAATAGACCCCAAACAGGAAGCAAATGTCTATTAAAACAGGCAAATGGGTGAGCAAATTATTATATGTCCGTACAGTAGAATTCTACCCAGACATTTAAAAATGAGCCACTGATATGCAAGAACATGAATGATAATGTAAAAGTAATTAACACTGATTAAAAGAAGCTAGACAAAAGTACATTTTTAAACACTAAAAAGTGCAGAGTCATCTGATAGAAGACAGATCCATGTTTGCTTGAGGATGGAGTAAAGGGAGAGGTGTATTACGAAGGAGCATGAGGGACTTTTGGAGATAAATTTCTGACTGATGAGCATGGTACTGGAGATTGAACCCAGAGCCTTGAGCATCCTTCTTAAGCAAGTGCTATTTTTCTGTCCTTTTTTTTTTTTTTTTGCTATTTATGAAATGTTCAATCAGGTCTATTTAGCCTACCTTTGGGTTGACTTTTCAATTTGTAAAAATTAGAAATATTTTTCTTGCTGTATTCCCCCCTTTTTTTTTTTTTGGTATGGTATCTCTCTGAGAAGAAGAAAAGCCTATTGATATTTTCTCTTTAATAATTAGCTGATTTTGCATTGTATGTAAGACATGCCAAAGTCTGGAAGACACGCCCCTCAAGATTATTATTTTACCTTGCATAATCAGATCTTTAGTTCACCTGGGATTGATTTGTGGATAAGGGAATAGAAAGCGCTTGAAACAAAATTTGTGTATCTTTCCCAGCTTTAAAGGCAAATCAAGCTGGAAACTTCTTCCTGAATTTTATTTATTTTTTTCCTAAATAGTTCTTACCCTCTTATAGGGTAATTCATCTTGAGTGTAATTCAAAAGAATTACATAGTAATGAGAAGTTTTTGTGCTAAATTTCTCAAATGAGAAGAGATATGTGGGGTTTTTGTTTGTTGTTAACAAAAGAAATGCTTAGCTGGTATAGTTGGGTTAAAGAGTATTAACGTTTGTTGAGCAGCAGCTAGACATATCCAGATGATCTGTGGGTTTAAAAAAACTTACTTCATATGGTATTTGAATTTGAAATATTAAAGGGAGAGGCAACTTCTTAGGGTTAACCTGAAGTTTAATCTTTAAGATCTTAAAAGTATGGATTGTAATTGTAGCACATGGGAGAGCACTTGCCTGCTGTGTGCCAAGACACTGGGTTCGTTCGGTAGCACCAAAGAAGAGAGCTGGGGAAATAGCTCAGAATGTTGGATAAAATTCACTGGCCATATAGAAAATGCCTTAGGGCCATTGCACTAAAATTATGGACCAAACAAGCCTTTTTATAAGAAATGGCAACTTGAGCAGGGTGGAAATATTGAGGAAGAAGTCTGTTAGAAAATTTTTGATGAGAAAACAGTTTAATTTTTTTTTCAGGATTATAAAATCCTTCTTGCTGTTCATGGTAAGGAGGTTGAGTTTAGCTGGGAAATTCTAGTGGAGGTGAAGAGAATAAATGTTTTAATAATTTTGGGAGTGTTAGAGGTGTTTTTAGTTTCATGAAAATATAAAAACTAGAATCTTGTGTTGAAAGTRTCATTTAGAATTGGTAGGATATCCTGCTATTCTTTGCAAATTTTGTAAACTATAAAACAAAATTTTCAGTAAAGGTGGTAAATCACACCTCAGCATTAACCTTCTCTGAACTCATGCCTTATTTAACTACATAATTGCACAGTGTTGGAGTTTTAGTCATTTACACTGAAGGAATTTACAGCCTATTGCCAAAAAACGTTTTAGTGTAAATGTTTTGGAGCTGAAAAGCTTCCTATTGAAGAACTATGCTTCTCATTGCATTCCTCATCATTTTAAAAAAAAATTTAATCGTGTTTTTAAAACCACTTGTCTTTAAGGGAGCACATGTTGAAATGAAATCTAGGGGTGTTCATRTAAAATTTTATGGGAGCCAGAGGAATAGCTAAGTGGTGGAACATTTGACTTAAATGTGGAAGGTCCTCGTTTGAGCCTGGGCGGGGGGGACTTTTGGGGGATCACTTTTTTCAGCTCTTTCCAGGCTCCAAAAGTGGCTTTAGTGTCTCCACTCTGCAGTACATTGCCTGTGACTGTATTCTTCTGGGACCAAGTAGAGAAAGGAGGAGGAGGAAGGAGATAAGTAACAGGGATCTCAATGGTGCTCTTTGTTTTTGGGACCACAGTTGTTTTAAAAAAGATTCTCCTGGGCTGGGGTTGTAGCTCAGTGATAGAGCACTTGCCTAGCACATGAGAGATACTGGGTTCCATCCTCAGCACCACATACACATAAATGAATAAAGGTATTGGGTCCATTTACAACTGAAAATATATATTTTTAAAATTGTTCTCCCTTATAGTTGATAGTTGTAGCTACCACAACTACTATAGGACTTCAAGGGTGCAAGGATAGGAAAAAAATGGAGGGGGGAGCCAAACCAAAAAAGATGGGATTTCCCCCACATTATCTGATCCAAAAGGGCTCCCTTGTTTGCAGACCAGAACTAAAAGGCCTGTTTTGGAACTTTTTGTTTTCACCAAGTAAGTTCAGGGTTTCTGGATGCCTGAAACCAGTCCAACATACATCAAATGGGAAGGAAAGCAAAAAACAGGACTGCTGATTTCAGTAGCATTTTGATTTTCTTCTTCAGTTCACCTGTTAACATTTTACTTCGAAGTCTTGCATTCTGTCCAGGGTTGTGTTGCTTTGTTTTGAGGTTTTAGGACTCAGCTTCCTGAGTAGCTGTGACCGAAAACACATGCGATTGCACCTGGATCTGTCCCAGGGTTTTTAGTTTAGTAAAAGACCATGTATGTACTTCCATCTTGGCAAAACCTGAATGCACTTTTACTTGTTCATTGTTAGTAAAACAAGTGTAGCTTAGTGGTGGAGTACTTGTCAAATCATTTCTCATCTAATAATACTGTTCAGATAGGTTTTTTCATTCTTAAGAGAAAGAAAGTAATTGCTTTGAACACTGTAAGACAGTTGGATGGATAATCAAGAAGCAAGAAAGGTGAAAGAAAACTAAAGAGGTCAATACAATGCTGCTTTACGTGAACATAAGAAAGGTTAAGAAAAATTGAAGATTTCAGCACATTGCTTTATCACGTTTCTGTTGGGACAATAAGTGTGCTTTTGTAAATAAAGTTTTATTGGAACCTAGCCACACCATTCATTTATATAATGTCTTTGGCTGTTTTCTCCCTATAAGGACAGAGCTGAGTAGTTTAAACATGGACTGTCAATTTTGCCTTGCAAAATTTACTCTCTAGCTTTTTACAGAAAGTTTGCTGACTCCTGTTTTAGAGGAAGAGTTTTCACTGTCCTGTTCATAGAAATAATGGGAAAGACAAGTGTTTTCTGCAATTGGCAGAGGCATTTTCTTTCTTTTTTTTAATATTTATTTTTTAGTTTTAGGTGGACACAATATCTTTATTTTACATTTATGTGGTGTTGAGGATCGAACCCAGTGCCTATGCATGCTAGGCAAGCACTCTACCACTGAGCCACGACTCCAGCCTGACATTTTCAAAATTATATATCTATGATTAGAATGTCAGTCATCAAACTAGTTATGGTGGAAGGTGTCTTGTTTTGTTCACAAACCCACTGTAATGAATCATTAGACTATATTATAAACTGTTTTTACAATGATGTTTGGAAATTCTTGGTATTGTAAATTTTAAACAGTGGTTCAATAAATTATACTAATAGTTACAAAGCTGATTGAAGAGGCATGATAATTTTGGAATGTGTTCATATAGGACCACAAGATACTGATTTGGTAATTGAAAATTATTATACACAATTCTTGGGTGCTTATAAAACAAAGAAATATGGATAAAATGCTTTCTGGTTTGAATTACTTTTTCTGTTTTTAAAGAGCACTTCATATCATTGTTTCTTAGCTGGGGGTAATATGTTATCCATGAGACTTTTGGTAATATTCAGAGGCAATTTTTGTTATCAGAAATTGGGGAGTTGGGAGGCTGGGATTGTGGCTCAGTTGCTAGAGTGCTTGCCTAGTATGCATTAGGCACTGTTCCGGCCCTGGCACCACATTAAAAAAAAAATAAATGAAGATATTGTGTTCATCTACAACATAGATAGATAGATAGATAGATAAAACTTGGGGAGATGAGGATGCAGGGTACCTGTAATTCCAGCAACTTGAAAGACAGACAGGAAGATCATAAGTTCTAAGGCAGCCTCAGCAACTTTAGTGAGCAACTTAGTATCTCAAAGTAAATAATAAAAAGGGCTGGAGGAGTGGCTCAGTGGTAAAGCATCCCTGGGTTAAATCCCCAGTACCAAATATTTTTTAATAGGTCCTAAGATGATAATAAGTGATCCCAAAGAAACAGGTGTTCTTCATTAATAATGTAATGGATTGAATGATCTTAGTCACTGTGACTGAAAAGCAACACTTAAGTAGCATGTCAAATTTTTTTCCTTGAGGCATAAATAAAAATGGATTTTGGAGTGTTTATGAAGGACAGAAGACTTACTTATCAGGTACCTGTTCAATAAAAGTTTAAATTACACCCCTTCCCCCACTTTTTTTTAAATATAAAAAGGTATTGTTATCTGTTGGTATCCATGGGCATTGATTTTTAGAATGCTCCAGAATACTAAAGTCTACAGATTCTCAAGTTACTTTATGTAAAATGGCATGATATTTTCATAAAATCTGCTATTGGCACTTACAAAAAAAAAAAGACCAAGCCAGAGGTAATTTCAAAGATTGCCACAAAGCGGGAAGGTTGTATCTATCCCTAAGGTCTGGGTTGGTTTTGTTCTCCCTCCCCCATTTCCCTCAGCCCTTGATTATTACTTTTTACATTAAAGCATATTTTTTGTAGAATTGGAATACTTGCTGTGGGTCTTTAACTTGTACATTGTGAGCTTTTGAATTACAAATAAGAAGTTCAAGTCTACTGTTAGACTTAAGCAGATTTTACTTTTTWAAATTCTGCCTCTGAGCTCCAACCCAGCCTTTTTGTTATTTTTATTTTGGGATAAGTCCTTGCTAAGTTGCCTCAAATTTTAGATCTTCCTGCCTCAACCTCCCTGATGGCTGGGGATTACATGCAAGTGCTTCTAACCTTGACTGTCAATTTGATGGCAAGAGATACTAGCTACACAGTATAGTATAAGAGTACCAGATTGCTCCATCATTTAGATTTTTAAATCTCTGCTTATTTGATGAAATATGTATATATGTCTTCCTGGGGATTGAACCCAGGAGTGTACTACCACTGAGCTGTGTATCCCCATCCCTTTTTATTTTTGAGGCAAAGGTCTCACTAAATTGCCAAGGCTCGCTGAAATTTACCATCCTCTTGCCTCAACCTCCTAAGTAACTGGGGTTAGTTACAGGCACATGCCACCGTACCTGGCATACTTATTTTTAGTACTGACAATTGGAACCAGGGCTTTATGCATTCCAGGCAAACACTCTACCACTGAGCTATACCCTAACCCAGATGATGCTCTTTTTAAAAATGTGAGTTTGCGGGGCTAGGGTTGTGGCTCAGTGGTATTACACTAGCTAGCCTAGCATGTATAGGGCACTRRGTTGGATTCTCAGCACTGCGTATGAATAAATAAAATAAAGATTCATCAACAGCTAATGAWTTTTTTTTAATGTGAGTTTCACAAAATATCAGATTTTAACTTGAATTTCTTTAACCATAATGAGTTAGTGAATTCCTTGGTTTGTGAGCCTTTGAATTTCCTAAGTGGCTTATTCGMATTTTTGCTCATTTTTCTTTTAGTGATTTGTAGTCATAAAGAATAGGTCAAGTGGGGGAGCATTTATGAATAGGCAAGTACTGTTAACTAATMGTATTTTTTGTTGTTAAATAATAGATCTGAATGGGATATACTTTTGAAGGATGTGCAATGTTCAATCATAAGTGTGACAAAAACTGACAAGCAGGAAGCTTATGTACTCAGGTAAGTTCCTGTAGAACAGGTGTTAACTAGCCATTTTCGGTTCTAATCATAAATTTATGTGAAATATCATTGTTCCTCTCAGTCTCAGTTGTATGATAATTTTCACCATGGTTGTAAGAATTTTATGGTATAAAATAAAGTTAGTAATCCTGGTGTTTCTAAGCAGATTTTGAAACTTAATAGCTCTTCAAGCTGGTTGCCATCTTTGCATTGCAGTAATTATAAGTATCTTGACTAGTTTATATTGTGATGTATGTAAGGTCTCTACTTATGTTTGACTAGTTTATATTGTGATGTATGTAAGGTCTCTACTTATGTTTGGAGTATTCAGGTATTTATCAGAATACTTTTCTGTATCTATCTAGTAAAAAGAAATATTGGGATGGTTGCAGAAATAGGATGTGAGAATAAGTAATGCAAGATATGTATTTAGCAAATAAGTTTAAATAATTTAGGCATATACTAGTGACAGTTTTTAGACTGCTGTTTATAGTTAGCCATCTGGAGCCAGATGAGAGAATGAGCAAGCCAGGCACAGTGGTACGGGCCTGTAATCTCAGTGGCTCAGGGCAAGGAGATAGGAGGATCACAAATTCAAGGCCAGCCTCAGTAACTTATCCAGGCCCAAAGCAACTTAATGAGACCCTGTCTCAAGCTGGCCACAGTGGCATATGCCTGTAATACCAGTGTCATGGGAGGCTGAAGCAGGAGGACTATGAGTTCAAAGCTAGTCTCAGAAATGGTGAGGCGCTAAGTAACTCAATGAGACCCTGTCTCTAAATAAAATACAAAAAGGGCTGGGGGGCTGGGCCTGGGGCTCAGTGGTAGAACACTCGCCTAGCGGGTGTGAGGCCCTGGTTTTGATCCTCAGCATCACATTAAAAAAATAAAGGTATTGTGTACAACTACAACTAAAAAATAATATTTTTTAAAAGGGAGAGGTGCTGAGCATGTGGCTCAGTGGTCAAGTGCCAGAGCTCAATCCTAAGTACCAAAAAAGAGGGGGAGAGACCCTCTCTCAKTATAAAACCAAAAAAGGGCTAGGGAATATAGCTCAGTAGTAGTGCCCAGATTAAATTGGGGGGAAGTGGGGAAGAAAGCAAGAATGGATCCTATCCCAAAAAGATGTAGAAAGATCTTTCATTCTTAGATGCTAGTGTTCCTAGGATACTTATGAATAGAAGAGGAAGGTGGCTATGTATAATGAGCTAATTCAATGAAGATTCTAGAATCTTAAACTGTTTTGTTGTTGTTTTAATAACAGAAGGAAAGACTTCTCTTCTGTAGTACATTATTTGCTTCCTTTGAATACTGACATTTTAATGTACTAGCCAAAAATCAGAAATGATGATGTAGTAATAATCAGTAGTACATAAAAATCTCATAATAATCCTTTGACTTTTTTCAACTACAGTGAGAGTAGCATGTTTGTCTCCAAGAGACGTTTCATTTTGAAGACATGTGGTACCACCCTCTTGCTGAAAGCACTGGTTCCCCTGTTGAAGCTTGCTAGGGATTACAGTGGGTTTGACTCAATTCAAGTAAGTATTCASAAACATTATTTAAGGCTTAAAATAGAGACTATACTAGTGTCACTTCATTAGCTAATTTGTTGCTTCAAAAAGTACATTGAAGAAAATATTTTTTTTTAAGAGTGAATTTTGCTGACTTTTAATTTGCAAAATAGTTGAATTGTTTCAGAAGTTCTTAGTATCCATCTGTGTCCTCTCTTTTTTTCCCCCAAGAGCTTCTTTTATTCTCGTAAGAATTTCATGAAGCCTTCTCATCAAGGATACCCACACCGGAATTTCCAGGAAGAAATAGAATTTCTTAATGCAATTTTCCCAAGTAAGTTCAAATAGAATTTAAACATTTTTCCTATTGAACTTAGAGGGTGTAACCTTTCAAAGATTTTTTTTCTTTTAATATATATGAGAGGATGTACATAGAGTCCTGTATACATACTCTTCATTATTTCTTAGAAATTTAACATACTTGGATGTTTTATCTGTACAATAGTGTTTGGGGTTTTTTTGTTGTTGTTGTGTTGGTTGGTTGGTTGGTTKKTKTTTGTTTGTTTTTTAATCTGAGGTAGGATCTCACTAAGTCATCAGAGTGGCCTTAAACTTGGATCCTCTTGCCTGACACACAGCTAATGGTGACCTCTATAATAGCTTATATTATTGAAAATATGCAGAATTTGTCAGACGTGGGTGTACATTCCTGAAATCCTGGTGACTGGGAAGGCTGAGGGAGGAGGATCACAAGTTCAAAGCCAGCTTCAGCAACTTAGGGGAGATCCTTTCTCAAAAAAATAAGAAAAAAGAGCTGGGGATATGGCTCAATGGTTGAATGCCCTGGGGTTAAATCCTTGCTACCAAAAATATATATGTATATGCAGAACTTATAGAGAGTAAAAATATCAGATATGAGTTAGTAGATAACTTATTTCAAATTTTGTATTGTGTGTGTGCTCTTGTAAAAAATAACTGCATCTCAAATCAGTGCTGTTGAAACAGCAGAATAAGGAAACCATGGAAGCTTTGACACTGGCATGTGCCTGTAATTTCAGTCACTAAGGAAACTGAGGCAAGAAGATTACTTTAGCCCRGGAGTTCAAGATCAGCCTGGGAAATACAAATACAGCAAGACTTTCTTCTCTCTTATAATAAAAAAGAAAGAAAATCATGGAATTGAATGCCTGTTTCCTAATTAGTTACCTAATTCCAGTACCCTGACTTGCTAAGTGAGACTGAAAACCTAGGATAATTTGATAACTTCACATAGTCCCCCAGAGGCATAATTATTAAAAAGAAAATAAGGGATCTGAGAATGTATCTTCTTAGTAACCTATCACATCTAATAGGAAACACTACTAGGCTATATCAGAGAGTGGTAGGTATTTAGTGCAAATAGCTTGTAAAGGCTGATTATTGTTTGTATTTAGTTGGGAAAGTAGATAACTGGTGACCAAATTCCATTTTCTGTAGGAGTTTTAAGGGGAAGGTAAGCCATAGTTAACTATTTAAACCAACCATTAGTCAAAGTGTACTTTGTTCAAAGACAGAAAAAAATGTGTTTGGGGTATTTTCTTTCTTTTTTTAAGGACAGGATGTGATGGGGTATGCAATCCTGTCTATCTTGGAATCTATCTACTTCAATTACTCTTTTTGATGAAATTTCTTATAGGTGGCAAATAATATAATCTCACTTGTTAGATAGGTGATAATAAGCTATCATGTTAAAATGGGTTTATTTACATTCTCTTCTCTCAACAGATGGAGCAGCATATTGTATGGGACGCATGAATTCTGACTGTTGGTATGTTTGATAAAATGTTGTGGTTTTTTTTTTTTTTTTTTTTTTTGCTGTTGTCCATATAAGATTTATTTTAAACTACCACTTGCTGTTTTTAGGAACTATTTTTTACTTTCATACAGGTACTTGTATACTCTGGATTTCCCAGAGAGTCGGGTAATAAGTCAGCCAGATCAAACCCTGGAAATTTTGATGAGTGAGCTTGACCCAGCAGTTATGGACCAGTTCTACATGAAAGATGGTGTTACTGCAAAGGATGTCACTCGTGTAAGCATTTTTAATAAAAATTGTTGCTAGATTGTTCTGCTCTAATGCTGCATTTTTTATTTATCTCATTCTCTGTTTATTTTTCAATCTTATGTTTAATTTGGTCTTTGGTCTTTTCCAGGAGAGTGGAATTTGTGACCTGATACCAGGTTCTGTCATTGATGCCACACTGTTCAATCCTTGTGGGTATTCAATGAATGGAATGAAATCGGATGTAAGTAAATTACATCTTGCTATCTTGCTTCAATAATTATATTAAAATATTTTCCATTACTAATGCAAAGCTGTTTTCTCTAAGGGAACTTATTGGACTATTCACATCACTCCAGAACCAGAATTTTCTTATGTTAGCTTTGAAACAAACTTAAGTCAGACCTCTTATGATGACCTGATCAGGAAAGTTGTGGAAGTCTTCAAGCCAGGAAAATTTGTGACCACCTTGTTTGTTAATCAGGTAATTTGATTTCTTGTTGACAATAAATGTTTAAAAGGAAATGAAGATAATGAGGCCTATTGTAAGATGTATTCTAAGATAGCACACATATTTAGTCACTCAGATATCCAGAGGTACTACTAGTAGATCAGAAGCTTGTATTTCATTAACTTCTGTGTGTCCTTGTTTTATATCCAGCCGAATTGATGGGTTCCTCCCATCATGTTTATTTTCCTTATTGACAGGCCTAGTGGGGGACCATTAAATGTTCCACGCCCCCAAGCCCATTAGAAGAAAGGTAAACTAAATAAAATGCCAGTATCATTAAGATAGAAGGATATTTATTGCATAACTATTTTGTTTCAAAATACCTACAGATTGGAGGCACTGATGATTATTTCAATTTTCCCCCCAGAGTTCTAAATGTCGCACAGTGCTGTCATCACCCCAGAAGATTGAAGGTTTTAAACGTCTTGATTGCCAGAGTGCTATGTTCAATGATTACAATTTCGTTTTTACCAGTTTTGCCAAGAAGCAGCAACAACAGCAGAGTTGATTAAGGAAAATGAAGAAAAAACGCAAAAAGAGAACACACATAGAAGGTGGTGGCTGCTTTATAGATGATGATACTGGGGGCCATGCTTTCCATAACCACCACCTTGTAGTTGCAGAAAGCCCTAGATGTAATGATAATGATAGTGTAATCATTTTGAAGTGTATGCATTATTATATCAAGGAGTTAGATATCTTGCATGAATGCTCTCTTCTGTGTTTAGATATTCTATGCCAYTCTTGCTGTGAAATTGAAGTGCATGTAGAAAAAAACTTTTACTGTATGAAACTTTACAACACTTGTGAAAACAATTCAATTTGGTTTATGCACAGTGTAATATTTCTGCAGGTATCGTCCAAAATTCCCCACAGACAAGGCTTTCGTCCTCATTAGGTGTTGGCCTCAGCCTAACCATCTGGGACTGTTCTATTATATTGCTGCCAGAATTTTACATCCAATTACCTCCACTTTCTAGAACATATTCTCTACTAATGTTATTGAATCCAGTTTCTACTTCATACAGATGTTTTTTGCAACAGCAATTAAATTTTTCTTTCACAAGACAAGTCCTTAAAATGATTCCAGTTACTCATTTTGTGTATTTACTATTTTAATAATTGTTTCTGCATTTGTAGTCTTTTGATTTTTTTTCCCCCTCAACCTGGTGTCTTCCCCTCCAGTCCCACAAATGAAGCAATAAACTTACACTGTGGGTTTATATACTAATCTTATATCCCAGGTGGGGAAAAGTCTCYGGGTTTAATTTTCTTTTAAGGGCATATTAATTTGACCTCCTTTTTTAATGGCATGGGCTCTTTTGGAAGGTAAGTGACAAAATTAAATATTTCTCACAAAAGAATTTTAAGCGTCTCCAATATTGACTAGCAAGAAGGACATGTAGAGTTATAGATTTGGGTATGCTAACTAAACTGTACACCCCATGTTATGTTATGCTCCTTGATAAATGAGATTAGCTTCAAACAGAGTACCATGCCTTTACTAACTTGCTAAGTAGTGATCTAAAAGGATTTTTATCACTAAGTAGATAAGTAGGGAGATTTAGTATATAGGTTGTCCTGGATTCATTAAATCCTGTCAGCTTGGATCATCCACCTTAACTTTTACTTTTAGTAGTCATTGCCACTAATTTCCTTTAATAGTGTATTATAAACTTTGGTTCAAAGCAGATCAGTGGTTTTCCATCTTAAGACTTAAAAGTTATGTGATTGAYTAACTTGTTCTGACTTCATCTGTTCCCTTAATATYTTCCTCCTTCCATGGTATTCACAAGATAAAATGAATAACTGCCCAGAATGAAAATTGTACATGTTATTCAGATATTCCCATGTGTAGCAGAATGTATGGATGGATTTTTTTAAAATTAAAATTTAAAAATATTCAGTGAGAAATGACAAGTAATACAGGCTTTCAAGAGTTGTGATCTTTTATCTATATTTGCAAATACTGTGGTATTTAAGCAACTGAGAACAGCAAAATTGACTATTTTGTATTTCTTGAACTCAATATTTTCTTGATAATTTCTGGATTGATGCAGTGATGCTTTGTTCYTTCCGTAGTTATAAGCGAAAAGCATTATTTCAGTGTTTCTCAACAAAATCTGCTTGGTTTGAAATCAAGTGGTTGGAACACTGTTTTGACTTATATCTCAAGCATGCTGTTGATCGAATGTTTCATTGAGGAAGCTTTCAATCAACTCGATCTGTTTGATTCCTAATGAGCACAGCACGTAATGTTTTGACTTGCTCTGTTGTGAGAACCTATACTCAAGGGTGGATTTTGTTTTGGAGCAGTATCAGTGGATTGGTAATGTTTGTTGGCTTTGAGGTCTAATTTTTATTTAAAAWTTTTTTTCCTTCCCCTAATAGTCTTAAGACTTCTAATGTTGAAAACTTGGCACAAATTTGTGTGGAACAAAGCCTATAAAAATGAAAACTGTAGATTGAATAGGATCTATCCTAGTGTGATGATAGAAGAGGGAAAATTTTGGTGCCATAATTTCTCTCTTCATTAGTGTTGACTTAAATCAGTTGAAATGTATTTCTGTATCACAATTTAAGCCTCAATAAAAGTTTGCTTACTTAATTGTCTAGTGATATTAAGAAAGTTTTCTGTTGATCTGTTTTATGTCTACTTGACCAAATACTATGGACCTTTTATAGTTTAGGCTTTTAAACCATGGGGTATAGAGGATATCATTTATTGTTAAACTAGAGAAGATTTATAAGCTTGATCGTTTTTTCATGGAGGTATATTTTGTGTTTTGTTCTATGTTTGTTTAGTGGTGTTATTGGGGATCAAACCCAGGGCCACGTACTCTAGGCAAGCACTCTACCACTGAGCTACACCCCCAACCCCTCTTATTTTCTTGAATTGAGAAAATTTCATTTCTAATTTCCTGTCTCTAATTAGCTGAAAATAGTTTTATGAAAATTTATATATTCTGATCTTTCTCAGAATAAACTTAATGGAAAGGAAATTTTGCTAAGTATTTTCTTTCTAATTAAAGAATAAAAACAAACCAGGCTTGGTAGAGTACCTATAGATCTATCTGGAAAGGTGAATCAGGAGGCTTACTTGAGTTCAGGGCCAGCCTAGACAAAATAGCTTGAACCCTGTATCTTAGCAAAATACTACATTTGTGTGCAGTACCTGTTTAACCAGGTAAGTGAATTTTTATACTCAACAAGCACCGTTGTTTTTAAAAAGAGGTTCCTGTGTTTCTATCACAAGTACATATATGGAAATATTCTTACAGACAAATTAACTACCACCAGTTTCTTTTAATTTCTGGCTTCACCACCACCACCACTACCAAACTTGTTTTCATCCACCTTTTTCTTACTGTGAAAATGGAAGAGGATTCTTATTTGAATTTCATTTCTTCCTGCCTTCAAAGACTGTTTGATGAATTCTTCATATTTCTGTCTCTGATATTGTGAGTTCTGCAGATATTATGTTGGTCGGTGTTAAAACATTTCCATTAGTTCTACTTCCCCAATCCCCCTACACCTTCCTTTACTTAAACTTTCCCTTGTTTAATCATTACTAAGGTAATATATGATAAATCTTTTATACCTAAAAATGGAGATGTGAAAACAAACTTTCCAAAATTCTGCTGATGTACAATATTGAGGGCGGGAATAGAGCCAAGGTGTGGTGGGCACAGATAATATCAATGACTTGAGAGGTTGAGGCAGGAGGGTCACAAATTGAAGATCATCTTTAGACACTTGTACCAAAAAATAAAAAAGGACTGGGGATATAGCTGAGTGATAAAGTGCCCATGGGTTCGATCCTGTTTGGGGTTCGGTAGGACCTGAACTCAAACTAACAAATGTTTACTGGTTTCTTCTTGGAGGATACTGAAAAACTTATGAATATGATGAACTTGATGCAAAGTCAAAGTTAGAGGTCTTTGACTTTTAGATGACAACTAAACTATTACAGGCACTTATCAATGGATTTCTAGTACCCTGTTATTTGTCCTCAGGAGTCAAAAATAGATTGAGATTTGTAACATCTTTTATGGAATGTGTGTGTGTGTGGTTTGGTTGTGGGTTTTTGTGGGTTTTGAGGGAGGTGTTTTTGGTTTGGGCAGTATGGGGATATTCTACCACTACGCTACATCCTTTGACCTTTTAGTTTTTATACTTGAGACATGGCGTCACTAGGTTATCCAGGCTGGCTTTAAACATAAAAAGTAAACAGAAAAGCAGTGATCCATTATATGCCAACATACTTTGTCATCATCCATCAATTCACTACATGCTCTTTGTAGATAAAATTTGTTTCAATTGACATAAAAATGGTAACTAAGATTTTGGTAAAAGGATATATCTTTTACCTCGCATCCTCTCAGGACAAGAAGATATCCAATAGTCCTTCCTAGGCAATTGAACACTATTAATTTCTTCACCCCTCAATTAACTACTTCCTACTTTTATATCAAAGATTCATGTTGCCTTTTCAAATTTTTCTTGGTACTTTGTATAATGCTTTACCTCAGCAAAAAATTGATGTTCAAACAACTCTTATCTGCTGAGTAATAAGTATTTCATTGTATGAATACACTCATGATTTGTTTCTTTTCCTTTTAGTAGATATTATTGCTTTCCAGCAAATATGAGTAAAGCTGCTATGAACATTAGCACAAAATTTTTTTTGTGGCTTCCATATGGGTAGTGGTATCAATGTGATTTTCACCTACATTCCTCTAATGATCATTTCTTTAATGTATCTTTGAATTTTAAGTGTTACACATTTTAACAATACAGTTGGCTGTGTTTATTACTCAGTTGTAGGTGTTCTTTATTTTGGATATAAGTTGCTTTCAGTTATTCTGCAAATATTTTTCCACTGTGTCTTGTCTTGACTTTGTTCCTTATAGTATCTTAATGAGAAGTTATTTTTAATAGTCCTAATTTATCAATTTTGTAAATGGACCTTTTCTTTTTAAATAAATTTGCCTACCCCCAGATGTGGTAAAGGTGTTTGTTTCCTCATGATGTTGTAGTTCAAGCTTTTATATCTAGGTCTATGATCAATCACGAATGAAATTTGTATGTAGTAGTAAATAGTGTTCGATTTCTCCCAAGTTATTCTAGCATCATTTGTTGAAATGACATTTTCATTCTCACTGAGCTACTTAGGCAACTTTGTAAAATTTCTGTTAACCATGTAAGAATAATAWGTTTCTGGAATATATTTTCATTCATCAATCCACTATATCTATGTGCCAATATCACTGTTCTAAGTTTTTTATAACTCTTAAAATAAGTCAGGTGGTCTATTTTTCTTCTTTGTCAAGATTCCTTTGTTTATTATATTTCTGTGTAAATATTAAAATAAGTCTACCAATTTGTATTCTAAAAAGCCTGGTGTGATTATGGTTAGTATTAGTTGAATCTATAGGTCAGTATATGGAAAATAATACTGAATCCTTCTAATCCATGATGCTATATTTCTCAAATTATTTTTTTTTAATTTTTTATGTGGTGCTGAGGCTCAAACCCAGTACCTCACGTGTGCAAGGTAAGCACTCTACCACAGAGCTGCAGCCCAAGCCCCTCTCAAGTTATTTTAAGTCATTTTTCTCAATACTTTTTGTTTCTTTTTTACCCAGCAACTTGAAGTTGAGGCCAGAGAATGGCAAGCTCAARGCCTCATCAACTTAATGAGACCCTATGTCAAAATAAAGAAGAAGGACTGGGTAGCTCAGCACCCCTGGCTTCCATCTCTAGTTCCCAAAAGAAAAAGACGGGGTCCAGTGATTGTGTCCCTGCTTTGCTCCCCTGTGCCAAAGGGAGAAGGACTGAAATAGACCCCCAAACATGCGGTACATAGAGGGTACTTCTGAGCCACAACCCCAGCGCCCTTGTCCCCACTATCTGGTTTAGTTATGTATAAAATAGCATATAGCAACATTAAAAGTTAGGGTACTGGTTAGGTATTGTGTTCATACAGAGACTAAGTACATTCACTTTTGAATATTCAGTTAAAAATAATGGGTATGGTGGACCACTCCTGTAATCCCTGCTACTCTGA